CTGCCTGGCCTGCCCGGGGGCGGAGGACTGCGTTCTTACCACGCGATGACCGGGCGCCATCTGCGGTTTTGCCGACACAGTCAACTGCACTCGTATTCTGTGCGGGCCGCCCTGCCCAGCCCTGCCCCGGTGTCGGGCCTGGCCCGAGGCCTGGCCTGGCCCGTCGGGTCGTCCTTTGTCCCGCTCGCCCCGTTCACTTTAGGCCCGATGCTCAGTGTCTCGGCGTCCCGGGCAGCCCTGGGCCGCCGGAAGGTGCCGCCTGTGGGGACGACGTCCGGGCGACGTCCCGGAGGAGCGGGGGAGGGGGAGGGGGGCGGACACGACCACTGCCCCGCGCTTAATAAGGCCGCCATCTAGGTTTAATATCTCCCCAGCATCGGCGGTGCCCTCACTTTACATCCCGAGGCGGATGACCTCCCCCCTCCCCTCCCCTCCCCTCCCCCGGCCGGCGGCCTTTTAACCCCGACCAGTACAACGCCAAATTCAGGCGCCATAACTCATGCGGCCCTTCCTGTTGCGGTGGCGCGGGCCCTGGCGCGGGCCCTGGCGCGGGCTCTGTCTCTCTCGCACCTGTGCGCCGTGCCCCGTGCGTGCGAGAGAGACAGAGCGACTAGTCGGCGTGCAAGCCGCCGCAGGCAGGCCCGCCAGAATGCCTCTTCCGACATGAGCGGACCAATTGACGCCGTCATTGGCAGGGTCCGAAGGAAGACCGTAGATCACGTCGTGGCGGCCCAGGGCGGCCGAGGGCTGCCGAGGGCTGCCGAGAGCCCGGCCAGAAGTGATGTCGGCCTACAGTGTGGGTGTGAGCGTGGGTGTGGACGTGGCGTAGGCGGCGGCGGAGGCCGACCACACGATGTTCAGAATCTATTCCAACCCCAGGCTGTGATGACCTCTGGGGAACAAAAAACAAAATCAACCAGGCTAGATATTTGAACTTTTTACCTCACTTAAAAATCGTACTCTGCGTCCCGCTGGCCCAGCCTGTTGACGGCGCGTCACCTGTGCGCGTCCTTGGGGCGGTGTTCCCGCAATGCCGCGTGGCGTCGCGGTGTGGCGCCGTGGCGGCGGAAGGGCCCTGAAGCTGCATGCAGCGACGCCGGGACGCGACGCTGGAAAAGGTCACAGAAAAACAGAGGCGCTGTCACTTCCAAAACACAAAAATAACCGTCCGGGAATTTCCGAGAAAAAAAAAGCTTGGGCTCAATTATTTTTCACAGTGCAGCGGATCGGGGAAAATGTGTCGATTTATGACACGGCTGCCGCGGCAGCACAAGTCAGTGGGGACGCAGGTGCGCCGACACTGTCAGCGCCAGCGACGGGCGGGGCTGGCGGGGCAAGGGGGCGGCTGACAACACGAAAAACGCATCGACAGAAAAATAAAAGTTTATCTTGCCACTGAACACGATCGCCATGCCGTTAATTGGCCGAGGTGTGCCGTTCTCGCTTTTGACACGCGAAAGCCGATCGCGTGTTTTTGGCCGCGTGACTCGCCGCGTGACCGCTTGCCAGCCGCCACGCGTGCGCGGTGCGTGCGTACGTACCCACAGCCCCTCGCGGCCGCGCGCGGGCGTACACCGTAATCGGTCCTTGGATATCTCTGACTGTTGCCCCCTGGCCGAGGCAGGACCTTACTGTATCACTGCGGTAATCAACAAAATGCGGGGTTACATTATCAGTCGCTCTGCGAGCGGCTGGCGATGTCTGCGGACACGGAGACAACGCGATCGTTTGCGAGACCTAAACTTTAACGGCGCCACGTGTAGTGCAGGCTGTGCGCGCCACGCGTGGCGGAGGTTTGGCAGTGGCGATGCAGGCAGGGGGAGGGGGAGGGGGCGCCACGAGGCAGGGAGTACAGGTACGTGCCGGGCATACCAGCCCCTTTCAAAGGAACGCAGCGCGCCAACAAAGGCAAGAAGAGCGGTAAATGCACAAGTAAGGCAAGCAGTCTAATGACGGCAGCGCGGTGGCCTTGGCGGCCTGGGCGGCCTTGACCGCGGCGAGGCCGCATCACATAGTGGCGGTTCTAGAGCCAGTCGGAAAAGGAGCTTTTTCGGCCTACTTACAGGTGCGAAGTGCGACTTTTGCCTGCCTTCCAAGCGTCTCTCTGGATGCCAAGGGCAGTTGTCGTTATGTCCCCTCTGGACCCGCGCTTGCATAGGGCGCTGCGTGGCCTCTGGCTCACCTTGGGAAGGGAAACAATTGGATTTGGCGCAGCTCCCGCTTCCTTAACAAGAGAGACGGAAATGAAAACGACGGGGCGGCGCATGAGTGGATTGGCAAGAGAATGACATGCCGAGGACGGCGAGGCCAGGCCGCACAAGGCCGGGCGAGGCGCTCCAAATCCAATTGGAGTCCCAACCAAATGCAGTGCACCGCAACCACTGCTCAGCAGGACGGACGGGACGGGCCGGGACGGACAGGGCCGCTGCGAGGGCCTTCGGAAGGCACCTGGTGTGGCCAGGGCCGCCTGGACCGCCAGGACGCTGCCGGCCCTGGGGGAAATCGCGCGGCGAGTGTCCCTGCCACCAACACAGGCAGCACAGGCCCGCAGCGCGCCCAGCTTGTCCCGGAGTTGCCCAGGTCTGCCCGATGCGATGCGGTCCTGTATTCCTGGTCGCCGTGATTCAGAAGCCGCGACGTGCTGCGGCCAGAACGCCCGTCGAGGGGGAACAACGATCTAAAAAGCGTACACCAACGTTTTACAAAGTACGAAAAAATATTGTAACTTGCTTACGATTATTAAGTAACATCAAAACTGCAGAAAATTACCAAAACCTTAAAAAAAATGACTGATTTGAATAGATGATTGGAAAAATTTACAAGAAACTACAAGAAAGTACACTTTCACCCTCGTGTCCGGTTCCTTCCCACCGCATCCGAGGACGCGCGCTTTCTTTGAGTTATTCAATCCGAAATATGAAACGGCGTACAGTACAGTCAGTTCAGCCTGGCGGCGCGGCGGTCCAGCCGGCGGGACGGATGGCGCGGTGCGCGGTGCGGCAGTCTGCCAAAGTTGGCCAACTTTGGCTATAAATCCCGGCATGAACGGCAATACAGTGAGCGGCGCGCCAATAAACGATCCAACCTGAGGGAAGTCTTCAGGGAAGTCTCCTTTAATGAGGCCTTTCCTCGCTGAAAGAAGGAATCTCGTCAAACCCTTCCGGATTTTCGGCTCCTTTCGTGCCGCTCTTCCGTTGTGCACGAAACTTCCCTGAAGGAGTTGTTTATGTATGTTCCCTGACGGCCATCTTGCAGATCCCCTATCTCTTTCGGTGCCGGCTCATTTGCGTAATGAACTTTGTGCCGTGCAGACCTGCGCGCAGATCCATCAGTTGTGAAGCGCCGTGGCTGCCACCAGGACTGCCGACGTCACGCGGACGCCGTGCCACGCCGAGAAAGGGGGCCACCGCATTCATACATGCGTCGAACAAAAAGCTCTCCAACTTTCAAAAAGTCGGTTCGAAAAATACTTGTCAATGGAAAGAAAACGAACAGTGGCGCAGCGCGTGACTCAATGCGTGTCAGGAAAATAAAACACCCCCTCTGCATAAAAGGGGGCCAATTTCTGTCACGACGCGCCTACAAACTGTTGAGCAAATCTGTGTCAATCTTGTTGCGAAAACAAATGCAGAAACGCGCTTCAATTCATAACTGTCGGCGAGCCGCCGAAAGAAGAAAGTCGTTTCGAGGGAAATACGCTCAATGGACCTCAACCCTTTCCACCGCAAAGGGGGCACGCCCCGCCAGAGAGAGAGAGAGAGAGAGAGAGAGAGAGAGAGAGAGAGAGAGAGAGAGAGAGAGAGAGAGAGAGAGAGAGAGAGAGAGAGTAAAATGGAAGCAGAAGCGCGCCGCGGGGGAAAAGTGTCGGAATCTTGTAAAGTCAATTTCTTACCAGTGGAACGGCCAACTTGAGCAGCCTCAGATGAAATGACATTTTCTAAGCCCCGCAATGAAAAAAAATAATGTCGTGAATACTTTAAAGTGTGCGTGCGGGCAAAGGGAGGCGGGGAGAGGAGTGGGGGGTGGCCCTGCTCGGCCAGGTGATCCCCCCGAATCTGCGACGAGCTGGCGGCTGCTATCCGCCACACGCTTTTGAACCTGCCGACCTGCAGTCCGATCAAAAAGCCACCCGCAGATTTTGGCGCCTTTTCCAATTACCAGCCCTCTTATCGTGTTGACGCGCCACGGGCCCAGGCCAGGCCGGCCCAGGCCGTGCCATGGGGGCGAATTGTGCGAGCTGCTGCCAACCAACCTCACCTCATGTTTCATGAAGCGCCTGATGGATCGGCGGTGGCGTGGCGTGGCGGCCGAGTAGCGAGTTTCAGTTTTTCCGCCGGCTGGCTGGCGGGCTGGCTGGCTGGCGGGCTGGCTGGCGGGCTGGCTGGCGGGCTGGCTGGCGGCCCGCGGCAGCACGGCGGCACCGCTCCTTCTTTTGCTCCAGTTGGTCCTGCAGCTGGCAAACCCTATTAGCATGCATGCCAGGGAACACGTGCGGCCTTCCCAGGCGGCGCGGCGGTGTAGCAGTGTAGCGGCGTGGCGCTGTAGCGTTGTAGCGCCGCCAGCGCCGCGAGCCACCATCGCACTGCCGCCAGCGCCGCCAGCCCGCCCGCAAAGCGTGGCCCAGCGGTAGCGACGCTAATTTTTTAAAACTGTTGAAAACCAACCTGGAAATTCTTCGAAAACTTGCCTCCAGTCTCAGAATAAAAACGAAAAAATTCCGAAACCTCATGTTTTTATTTTGAACGAGCTTCCAGGAGGTATAGTACAAAAAGATCATTTTGAAACCCGAAAATTTCGAATGGAGCTTCGGGACGCATTTATAGAATTTTACCATTTCTTTTTAAAAGTGCTCCGTACCCTTTTTCATCGTTTTTTGTTACTTTGAGGATCAAAAGTGTACCCGGCGCCTCAGGTCTGTGTTTCGGCCGGGATATTAAAGCCATCAATCACTCGAGTCTTTCTTGTTAGTTTTTGTCTGACCGTGCCTTTTCGTCTGGTTCCAGGTGAGCACCGGCCGCTAGCGCGCTGAATTCGGCTGCCGTCAGCGAGCAGCGCGTACCATATGGTGAGTTTCGAATTTAAGCTCCCCAGTGGGGGATGGGAAATTCGGTGCCACGTCCCTCGACGGAGAGGGAGAGAGAGAGTGGTACTCCCCCGTAAACGACGTGACAGCCTTCGTAATTGATGAAGTATCACGCCTTTATTGATGGGCATCGAAGCATTTTCAACGTGAACAGGCAATTTGTTGACATCATTTTGTCCCTTTTTCTACCAGGTGAAACATTTGCACGCGCCATCGGGACCTGTTACTCTTCGTAGACTTCAAATGTCGAACTAGAATCCTACTAGCTGCGTCTTTCAGCGTGTTGAACTAGAAGGTGGCGCCGAAGCTGGAGGAGAGTCCGTTTGTTTTTTCGCTCTCTTTGGAAGAGGTTCATTGGGGCTGACCCGGAGTCCTCGTTCTGGCCGCTCTGGCCGCTCTGGCCGCTCTGGCGTCCAAGGCCAAGTTGGCTCTAGCTACCTGCCCCGGGGCGCGGAGTGTAGGCCCCAGGCAGCGTGACGTCACGCCACTGCAAGTTTAGGCTCCTGGGGGAGCCCCTCGGGGGGTAGAGTTATCGCGAGCGTCCCGCCAGCGTCCCGCCAGCGTCCCGCCAGCGGCAAGCAAGGCGAGCCAAGCGGCCCCGGCCGAGGCCCTGGCCGTCATGCCGCATTACGGGCCGAATCTTAGCCGAAGTACAGTGCCGCTGATCGCGTCGTATTCGCGAACCAGTCTGTATCGCCCTGTGCCTCTGCTGCACAGGCCTGCGGGCCTCGCTTTTAGCAGGCTGCTGCGGACAGTGCAGAGGGCGAAAAAAAAAACCAACTTGCGCGGCCCACAACTTTGTTCGTCTTGTCCTCTACAAAGGTTTGATACGTGCGCGAACTCCGAACGAGGGCAGTACCATTTACTGGCCGCGAATAATTCGCCAGGACTTGTAGTCTTACAACCTTTCAGACAAGGCCGTGGCTCGCCGTCACGTCCGCCAAACTTTCTCTTTGACTCGGTTCCCCCCGACGTTCCTTATTCTCTTGGAAAAGCAGCGGTGCGTTCCGCGTTCCGCATGCTTGAAACGAGTAGTCCGCCAATCGCTCCCTTCCCGAATTGCCGGCCCGTTACTGAGTTTGTCAAGTTGGCGGCAGCGTGCACGGCCCCGCCTCACACAGTGGGCCAGAGGACCGGTGGAGGCGGTCAAAATCCTGGACGCGTTTTGAGCTCCAACGTCGCTAAATGGGACTCGAATCGAACGTGTGAGGTCACACGTTCGGTTCGAGTCCTGTTTAGCGACTCTGGAGCTCAAAACGCGTCCAGTGGTTTGGCCGCCAGCGCCGGTCTTCTGGCCCACTGTGTGCCTGCCTGCCTGCCCGCCCGCCTGCCCGCCAGGCGTGTCCGAGGTGATGAGTGTGACGTTTCCGGCGACCCGTGGGACTCCGTAGGGAACTGCGAGGGAAGGGAGCTGGTGAGCTCTGGCAGCCGAGGGACCCCTTTCCGGCAGGCCGCCGGTCTGTCTGTGCTGCGCCGCTGCGCTGCTGCGCCAGTTCTCCAAGCCCCCTTCCCCTCCCACACTGCTAACCTACTCGCAGCCAATCCACATACACGGGTATTGCGGGGGCGGGAGCAGACCGCCTCATCACCGCGCGACTTTGATGTTGGCGGAGAGCTCGTAATCACGACACATCGCACGCCATCGCGAGTCAAGTGGAGCGAGCGAACAGCGCGTTTAATGAATTGCCGACAGCTGCACGTCAACAGAGCGCGACCCACGCGAAAAACCAGCGGCCCGTCAACCGAGTGGTGACAGGAAGCAAAAAGCGACGAAAATTCGCCAAATTAGGCGCACTCTGCGCGAGAGCAGTCCTTTGAAAACTAACCTGGCCGACGACAAAGCCCGGCTGTTCCGCCTCAGCTCACCTCACCTCGTGCCGCTGACGTTACAAGCCGGGGCGCCGCGGCGCCGGGCGGCGGAGGACAGGAGGCCGGAGTTGGCAAGCAATAAACAGGCTCTGTCATCGTGCCCTGGCAGTGGCGTGGCAGCGGCGTGGCAGTGCTTGGCAGTGGCGTGGCTGCGCCATGTGTTTGCGATCGAACAATACAAGGCAAAGAGAACGGCCGGGCCTCCTTGCTCGCCCCGCTCGCCCCGCGCGCCCCGCTCCTTGTTTCGCAGTTGGGATTGAGTTCGGCCCAAGTTAGAGGCCGGCCGGAAAGGCACGGCATAGGCAATCCTTGGTGGGCCGCGGCTTGGCTGGCCTGGCTGGCCCGGCTGGCCGGGGCGGCGCCCAGAAAACCAAATCAGGGAGCTCCGCGCCGCTCCGCGCCCCGCGGAGGCAAGCGGTGGAGTTGATCGCTTGTCGCGGGCTGGCGGCTTTCCGGTGACGGGGAGGAAGAGGGGTGCGCCTCTGTAAACCGGCGTGTTTTCCTGCTCGCCTCACCGCCGCGCCGCACAGTGGGCCGGAAGACCGGCGCAGCGGGCCAAACCTCTAGACGCGTTTTGGGCTCCAGAGTCGGTAAGCAGGACTCGAACCGACCGTGTGACCCCATCAATGGATTCCTCGTTCGGAGAGCTATCCATTAGTGGGGTCACACGTTCGGTTCGAGTCCCATTTAGCGACTCTGGAGCTCAAAACGCGTCCGGGATTTTGACCGCCTCACCGGTCTTCCGGCCCACTGTGCGCCGCGCGGCCGGCAGCGTCCCCCCCCCTCGCTGGCCGCGTTGGCCGCGTTTGCGGCGCTTGCCGCGCGTTTTTACTCCGAAAGCTAATATCGCTGCCGAATCAGCCTCTTCCGCCAGAGTGCCCCAATCTGCTTTGCCCTGCTTTAATGCCTTAAGGCCGCACTCTGATGAGCAGCGCCTTAAGCCTGCGCGTCCAAGCCGCGCCCCAAAGAAAGAAAGGATATTACGCAACGGCACGGCCCGGCACGGCCAGGCACGGCCAGGCACAGCTGCACAGCGGGTGCCGGCGGTGCAGGGCGGGCGGCGGGGCCTACTGGGGCACGGCGGCACGGCGGCACGGCCCTGCTGCTGGAGAGCTCGCTGGAGAGCCGGGCCGAGCGGGCCGAGCGCGGCCACGGCGCGGGATATCGATCGCGGCAGCCTTGCGCGCAGCGCGGCGCAGCGCCTCGCCTCTCCTCCCTCTCGGGTGGACCCGAACCGGCACGACCACCGCCGGCACCGCCGGCACCACCGGCACCGGGAGGCCGAAGACGAGGCGTCGCGACGCCGCGCTGCAGCGGGGGGTATCTCCGAGCCGGCCGGCCCGCTCCCTGCAGGGCCGGCACTGTCGAACCGAGGGCGTGGAGAACTCCCCACTTAGTGCGGAGTACTGCTCCACTCTGGGACGCGGGTGGAGTTTGCACTCGAAACTGTAAGAAATGTTTTCCTATGAGGGCGGTGAATAGTTAATACCAAGAATTTAGTGAAGCATTAAACTTTCGCCACAAGGCGGTGAGAATGTTTTTCCTCGAGAAAACTCGGCATAATTCTCGCCATGCTCACCACGCTCGGCGGCAAAAGGCGCCCCGAAAGGCCGGAAAACACTCGAACACGCGCGCCGCCCGGTCAAAGTAGAGCTGGAACATTGGAGCGGTGCCTGCGCGCGCCTGGGCGCGCCGGGGCGCCGACACTCGAAAAACTCTGCAGTGTAATGATGTTGGACGGCAGGTGGGAAAGAGAAAAAGGCCGCGAGCAAATCTTGAAACACTGCAGCCACCGCTGCGCGTTCATTATAAAACTTTGCCGCTGCTCGACGGCACGCCGCGGTGCAGCGGTGTGACGAGGACAACAACGGCCGGCCGACCGCGAGGGCGAGCCAGAGAGAGAGAGAGAGAGAGAGAGAGAGAGAGAGAGAGAGAGAGAGAGAGAGAGAGTGCTCTCCTGCCTTTCACGGCCCACCGCAAAACAAGTGCCGCGACCGCCGCGACAAAGCCGCCGTGAGGTCGGTTCGGTTCGGTTCGGCCTGGTGGCGCCTGGCTGCGCCTGGCCGCCCGATAGAGTCCAGCCGTCCCTCTCGCTCTCTGGGGTGTTCCGCAGGGCGAGAGAGAGACGGAGCGCCGCAAACTCTGTTCAGGTCAACAACAGCAGAGCCCTGTAGGGCAGCCTGTTTCTCGAGAGGCAGCGCTGTTCCGGAGAACGAGGCAGTCTGCGTAAGTTGTCGTCAACGGCTCGGTTCGGGGCCACCCGCTGTTCCGGCTTCGAGTTCACCTGCCGATTAATTTCAAACTGAGCGCCCCTCGTCATCCCCCTCCCAGGTGGTTCCCGATGACGTAATTCAGGAGCACGCTTCATTGGCGGAGTGTTTCGTAACCGAGTCCGGAGCGGTCCGGCAGGCCGCTCGCCCCGACGCCATCGACGTCCCCGACGTCCGCGACGTCCCCGTCAGACGCAACACTGTGGCGTCGTCGCGCTCCGCCGCTCCAACTTGTGCGTCGCGCATGTCTCGTATTAATAGAGCCTGCGATCGACTCTGGTCCCAAGTTGCTGCCTTGGCGACCTCCCCAAGTCGGATCCGGGTTTCCGAGCGCGCCGGAAGGGGAGGGGGAGGGGGAGGGGGAGGGCGCCGCTGCCTCAGCAAATCATCGGGGCCGTCGTGCCGTCGTCGTCGTTCGATTAGCGGCAGGCAGAGTTGCCCCTGTCAGGCTGCCACTTTGTTGCTCTATTCTCGCACGTCGCCGTTGGAATGGCTCGGCCTGCCTGGCTGCCTGCCTGCCTGGCTGCACGCTGATTGCGAACGCAGCGTTCATCGCTCTGTCTCTCTCGCACTCATGGAGGCGTCCCGTCGGGGTGCGAGAGAGACAGCGACGAGGGACTGTTTGGAATGAGCCCGCTGGTGGCTGCCTGGTGGCTGCCTGGTGGCTGCCCATCGCCCTGACGTCGTAAACCGGACCCGCTAATGACATTTCTTCACGGAAGTGGGGCCGCCGCACCCCGCCCCGCCTCACCCCGCCGCACCCCGCCCCGCCGCGACGCTTCGTTCCCCCGTCCGATCCCCTCACAGGTACGCGCTTATTGCTCCCACAGGGATCCATCCCGG